TTTCTGATATGCTGAATTTGAGATTTTCATTTGTTGTCATTTGTAATCATCAAAATTAAACGAAATAAGCATTTGAAATATATGAGTTTGTATGTAATGTTTGAATATAATATACAAGTTTCACTTTTTAAATGGAATTACTGAAATAAATCTACTCTTTCATGATATTCTAATTTTATGACCAGCACCTGTAGACCCTGGCTCCAAAAACACAACATGGTAACATCTGTAAAACAAATAATGATGGCTTTAATTTGTCAAAGGAGTGAACAACCCCTCTTTATGTCAGGAAATACTAAACAAAACAGGAAACAAGCTAACAGTAAAACTGGTCAGTTTTTTTTTAATCAAACCATTCTAGCAGAAACTTAAGTCAGACCTAGCTGACTCTGGCACTGAAATAATGAGTGTATTTACTAACATCTGTGAGGGGAAAACTGAGTTCAAACACACACCCCAACATTACTTTAGGTTCATGTAAACTTTGACAAAGTAAAAACGGGTCAACTGAAGGGTTTGAAGAGCCACGTTTAGAAAGAAATGACACAAGTAAACTTTTAACTCACCAGTTTCTTCAACAACCTGGTTTTATCTCAGAAAGAGACAAACAATCCAAAGTCTAGTTGGTCTGAGTTATTGACAGTTTTTACTTTGCTATTAAACAACTTCATAAAATTAGTCGGTATGGTCATTTAATTAATGTAGTAACTGTTAACGTGATAAGCTTATGGTTGTTTTTAGAATTAGTCACCTTTAAACCTGCATTTTTAAACTAATATAAAACGAGGATTAAGAAAAGCTACTATATCTCGTAGCTTGTTTTTACTTGTTAGCATTAGATGCTACTAAGCAGCTACTCCATTAGCCTCATATGATTTTTCAATGCGGATAGACTGTGTTTGTTCTATAGCTGAAATACACAACCCTTAAAAGTATTACTTTAAAGTATTAGTAAAAAACATACGTACCTCGGAAGATAACTTTCACCGGAGACAGCGAGTCACGTCCATACCGGGGACGGGTTGTGACTAATCTGATGAAAACACGAAACAAACATGGCGGCGAAATATCTTGACCTCATTCGCGTCATTGCAAACGAGACGTCATGACGTCATCACGTCATTGTTGTAACTGTACAGAACATACAAGTCTTTGTAGCGAGGTGTACCTGCATATCTATGGTGATTGCAAACAAGACGTACACGTGATCTAGAAGCTACCATCAACATGTACAGGAGATTCCGTACATCTCAGCGGCCGCCATCTTGGATGGGTACCTCTCGCGCTCCCAGCGCATTTATTTATACTGAGAAAGCTGTTCATCCAACTAAAATAATCACAACTCCATGATTTTTTTTACACGATTTGGTTTGTTACAATCAGCAGAGATGTAGTTATGTTATTGGACACGGTCACACACACAAAAAAAAGAGCTTTCATGCTGAAATACTTTGTTTTATCCTTTTTAATTGTCTCTTAAATTGTCTTTACTATCCCTCAGTTATATTCAGGTGCATCAGCAGCAGAGTGACAGGAAATTCACACAGGGTGAACAAATTTTTTATGAATAAGAAATAAAGTAAATTTTAAAGGATTAAAAAATACATTTTGTTATAAAGAAATATGTTTAATTGTTTCATTTGAAGTATTTCTGTTTAAAACAATTGTAGGGGTCACCTCGAGTCAAATTATCAAGGAACTATCTTGGACTCTCAGTCCTCTGATGGGCCTTCTAATGGACAAAAACTCTGTTCCACTTAGAACTGTATTTAGGCCACCCCAGGCCACTTTCCTTCTAAACCAGATAAAAACAGAAGAATCTTCTCTTATTTGGTTTATTGTTCTCTTCACTGAAAGTATTACACATTTTGATAATCAGGGAATGTTTATCAAAGTTACAGGAGAAGAGCGGACAGATCTTCCTACCTAAAATGTAAACTGTTCATTTTAGATAGGAAGAATGTTGTTTTTGATGTCTGGAAGGTTAATTTAACTTACAAGAAGTGTATTTAAGATATCTGAAATGGATATTCTTTTAAGCTAATAAATGTTAAAACAGTGATTTAAAATTTGTAAAGATTTATAGACATCTTAATAGTTCAATTTCATTTTTTGACATCCTGAAATTCAGTTTTTGCGAGCCAAAATGTAACTGTGGAAATCTAAAATTACAGTTCTGACTAGAAGGAATGTAATTTTGACCAGTAAAAATCGTATTTTAGTGATCTAAAAATGGAACAAAAGAGAGGAGTGTGCTTTGATTATATGTAAAAATGGCCTGCCATAAGCATGGAGACTTTTTTTGTCGTTGGGCGACCGTTGATACTGCTGGACTGATTTATTACGGGACATGAAATCTTTTTGTTTTGGCAGACGACCACTCCTTCTCCCCCTCAAATGACTGGTCGTACCAGTGAGACCAAATTAATTTTTTGTCACACCATTAGGAAATCAGGTTGCATTTGCCACCAAATTGGTTCCACTCTGGAGTCCTGGTAATTTAAAAAAGTTGAGTATGTCCTTAAACTTTTTAAAACATTTCTACCTGGATTATTGAGATGATCAGGATATTTACATTGAAAAATATAAATAAAACGTACATTTTCATGAGGTGACCTCAAAGATCTGAAAATATCGTTCAGAAATTTGTTTAAAGCTGTTTTAGATAATCCATCCCACCTCGCGGTTGTGGCATATCAAGATGCTGATTAGACAGGATGATTATTGCACAGGCGTGCCTTATTTTGAGCGTCAGGTTTACATGCAAAGTCTATGGTGGACGTGCGTCGTGAAGTGCTGTGGTGCATCTAGCGCATTTAGCGCGGTGCATTTTAAGTGATTTGAGTTGAACTTTTGCAGCTCGACGCGGCACATCAACCAATCAGAGAGACTCCACTGTGTGATGTAGTGGCACGTTTTCCGACTGGACTCTTTCCTGAATGATGGCCACTAACCTGAGACAGAATGGACAGGAGCTCTTTAGATGAAATCGAGTGCCTGTAGTCGGTGTGCTGGCAGGTGATATCCGCACCGATATGGGTCAGCAGCTCATCAAACTGGGCTCGGATCAAAAATTGTTCTGAAAGTGAGCCTACTCGCAGCTCCTGGGTGATGAAACTCACCAAACCTGCACCAAACTCAGAATGTCTGAATTTTCCGGTGAATTAATTATGAAATAACTGTCTCATGAGCACAATGTGCTCTTGCTCGCAATAAATAAAGCAAAGCCACTTTCTTTATTTCATCCGCCCTTAAACAGAGACTGCCTCGTGCTGAGGTTGCACTGCGTAGAGGCGCGTCCCCCAGGTGGTGGATTGGGGGTCCCTGTTTCTGGTGTATAGAGGTGTGCTCAAATAAGCTGAAAGGCGAATAGGGTACCATGAACCAAACGTAGCCGGGCAGGTGGGGATCTATAGCCTTGCAGGCAACCCACCTAGGAGAAGGAAAACTCTGATGTAAAACTCAGGTACCGTCAACACTCGTCAGTCGTCTATCCCAGGTGGATGGCAAGTTGACAAGAATTTTAAATTGAGCGGACAAGGGACCGGCTCCCAGTACCCGGCAGAAGGGGGTTCTAAAGTCTCTGGTGACCCAGCCTGCGGATCGTTGGGCACAGATGCTGCAGGTGGTCCCATGACCGTGCCTCTGGCCTGTCTGGTGGGGAACCAGGCTGGATGGGCCAGTAATATGGTGACTGGAATAACCTTTACTCTGGCCCCAGGACCTGATGCTTATGTGTTGGGTCCTGGGCAACCGGAGGGTTTAGTGCCCTGGGGCTCAGTGATCGCGATGGCTTCTGCCACTGCTGCTGTGTCTACAGGGAGTACCCAGTGCGAGTGTAGCCCCTTGACTGCACCCCAGTGGGGAGTGGTCGGAGCCTCACGAGCGCTGGGGTCTCCAGGTGATGACACCGACATGATGTTGGTGTCCTCTGATGGAGAAAAGGGTCCTAATCTCTGTAGTTTTAGGGATGATGGAATTTATTTATTTTGGCGGCACGACGGCTCAGTGGTTAGCACAGACGCCTCACAGCAAGAAGGTCCTGGGTTCGATCCCCGGTTCGGACCTGGGGTCTTTCTGTGCGGAGTTTGCATGTTCTCCTCGTGCTTGCGTGGGTTTTCTCCGGGTACTCCGGTTTCCCCCACAACACAAAAACATGTACAATAGGTTGCCTTCAGGCCCAGGCCACCCTTGAAAAAGAGATCTGAGATCTCAATGGGATTTGCCTGGTAAAAAAAAAATAACAGTAAAATTTATACAGAGCAACTTGCATTATTGTAAAGATGCAACTGTTAGCATTTGATTTGCAAGTTGCAAAGTTTGTTCCATGAGACTTTCAGCATTTATTAGTTTTATTTTATTTTGAAAGTCTGTAATCATTGTGGTTTTGGACAGTTCTGCCATAACTGTCTCAAGTGTATTCTCAGAGGCTTGTCCCTCTGTTTCACAACTGGACATATTTGAATATGAATGAGTCTGAATCCATTCTGCAATTAAATGTATTATCCTTTTAATAGTAGTTAATTGAGAGATAAACAAAGCTTTTTGGTTTGTTAAATATTGCCTGCAAATTTTTTTTAATTATTAGGAAGCGTCGATGGTTTACTGTTTAATTAAAGCTTATTGCAAAAAAAAAACAAAAAAACTTTTAAAACCTGCTAAATTATTTTTTGACAATTAAACAGCTAAGTAAAAGAAATGAATTTAAAAATGCAGTAATGTTAATGAGATTGCAATAAAGCTTGCTGCTTTGATGTGTGTTAGTTCCTTCTTTATTCTATGGATGTTATTTTAATTTAACTTTTGTAAAATATTTTGAAAGTGGTTTGAATTTGTGTGTACAGCTCTGTGTAGAGTCTGTATTTTGTTTAAAAGTCAGTATGTTGTTACTGCTTTAACTTGTGTCATCTGTTGAAGGTGTTTTGCCCTATTTGTTTTCACAAAATGTGGCATTAAGTAGTTAATCTTGTTAACTTTTAGATGTTTTTCCTATATTTAGGTTTGAAATCTTTTAACAGGGTCATACTATTGGATTAATCACTTTTCGTTTGATAAAAGTTGTTTAACTTTAAGCATTAATTTTTTTTTTTTTAGCTTTTAGAAAAACTCTTTTAGAACAAACTGTGTTTTCAACAGAAGAATACCTGGAAAAAAAGGGTTGAAAACCTGATTAATATTGAAGTTCTAGTTTTATAAAT